AGGTGGCCACTCCCGGAGCGGCGCGTCTTCGCCTCCCAACCCTCCCGCCTGCCCCTCTGTCGGCGCACCAGGAGGACCCCGGGCTTGCGCTGGGCTCAACCCCAAACTCTGACCATCCCGCCTGGGCTCGAACCGCCAGGCCCGGGCTGTCGGATGGCCGGTCTTTGAGCGAGAAAGACAGCGGGTGGAGTAGCCAGCAGGGCCAGCGCGGAGGCTCCGAGTGAGGGTGGCCGGGCAGCCCACGCCCAGGCAGCAGGGCAGGGGCTGGGACCCCACGCTGCCCACAGCTGGCCGGCTTCCCTGGGCGTTGGCAGCGGGCGCCACCGGCAGAACTTTCCGTTCTCGGTGGACCGAGTAGGGGTGCCCTACATGGAGGTGGGCCTGGGGGCCCTGGGTGTGTCTGTGCGCCTGCCTTTCTTACGCGCTGCCCCTGGCGCACCGGAGGGGTCCACCCGCCTCTCTCCCAGCGCCCAGCGCCCACAGACTCCCAGAGCTGCAAAGAGGTCGAACCCAGGACGCCCTGCCCTGTTGCATGGGCCAAGAGACTGAAGCTCCTGGCCGACTCTGTACTGTTTCAGGAAGGAAAACTTTCCCCCAGGGGCCTCTTGCGTGGTCTTGGGCCTTGTGGGCCTGTATCATTGGAAAGGCCACCATGCCCGCAGGGGCCAGAGTCCGGGTGGGGCGTGAGGGGCCCGGGAAGCCGCTGGCCCCGCGTCCTCCCTCTGGAGGCTATGGAGAGCCCGCGGCCTTGCTGCTCACAGACGCAACTGCAGGTCCTATCTCTGTGCTTTGCAAACCCTCCGCGGTGCCGGGACGACGGCCAGGTTGTCCTAACCGGGAAAGGCGCCTTTAGGGGGGCTGGACCTGCGCGAACCCAGGCGTTGGCGGCCATCAGTCGGAGGAACGCCAGTGGCTCCGTTTCTCAGGAGAAAGGCTGGACAGTGTTATCCACGTAGACGTGTTTTCCTTACAAAGGGAGGAACACAGGGGGCCTGCCTCTTAGCTCCCAGGCTCACTGGTCTGTTGACTGTCAGAGTTGAGGTGTCAGGATGACCTTCCCAAGAGGGAGGACTTCCCAGAAGCTCGGGCTTTCTGCTTGGGGTGACCGGTGGCAGGGTTCTGGGGGCTGGCCATGCAGTGGTGGACAGGAGGCAGACAGCATCTCGGAGAGTCTGACCTTGTCCGGGTCCAGAACTGGTGGACACTGGGACCTAAGCCCCGCAGTGCTGATGGCCAGGGAGGCCTGGCAGGGCCTGCCTTATCCAGCTTCTCCCCTCGCTCTGCGTCGTCCACCTGGGTCTGTAATTAATACAAACAGAAATGGCTTCAGCGGAGACAGGGGTGTCCACTGAGTGCCAGGGAAGGTGCACCTTGAACTTCCAGGGCTTCTGGCTCTGCCACTGAGCCTGGGAGGCTCCTGGCATAGGCTGTCTTCCCTAAATTGACCCTGAGCTTTCCTCTGGTCACCTCCGGTCACCTCTGGTCACCAAGGCAGTGGCAGCCTGTAAAGGGAGGAACGTGCTGGCCAGGCCTTTCCAGGGTGGGAGGAAAATGAGCCAGGAATCCGGGAACGGAGACGGCTTGCCATGTTCCCTTCAGCTGCGTGAGCAGAGGCCCCTTCGAGGGCCTGCCCGGATGGCTCATTTGCCGGATGGACGTAAAACAGAGGCTTGGGAGCCTCTGGGACACTGCCCGTCCAGAAACCAAGCGTTCCAGGGACCCCTGCCTCTACAAAGCCACCCGGAGCCCCCGGATTCCTAAGGACGGCGAAGGCCGTTTTCTCAGCTGGCCTTAATCGCCGAGGCTCCGACTTAGACCCAGGGAGAAAAGCCGGTAGGAGCCTGTTGTCCGGAAATGATTTACTGCTGCGGGAAACGGGCGTTTGGGGGTGTGTGTCCCTTTTCGGGGGCGAGGGAGGATTTAAAATCACAGTGCGGGAGAAGTGTCCAGTGTTCGGAAACCTCGGGCAGGGTTTTCTGAGGAGGACGAGGAGGATGAGGGACTTGGCCGGCGTAGCCCGGCAGGGCGGGAAGCTTTTTTCCTCGAGGCGGTAGAAGGCGTTTCCAGGGTGCACTCGGCAAGTTTCGGGAAGGCAGGGGTTTTGGAGGGGGGCTCCTGTGCGGCTCTGGGAGTCTCAGAACCTTTGGCAAGTGCTGGCCTTTCATAGGGGGCCAGGGGAGGTTTAGTTAGGGCCAGGTGCCTGGGCCCAGCAGGCTGTAGGCGGCCTGACTGTGGGTCTCTGTAGACCCAAACGGGGTGGGACCGGGAGTGCAGCTCCAGCTCACACTGGCAGTGGGTTGGGGGTGCCTTGTATTGGAGAGCCCTGATCTGGGGGAGCATGCATCTCCGAGACTAGGCAGGAGAGCCATCCGGTTAGACCCCGCTGTCTGAGGCCCAGTCCTCCCGCCCCCCACCCTGGGACTGCAGCCCTGCTTATGATGTTCGGACAGAAAGTGGCACTTGTGGCACCCTGGCAGGGTGGGTGTCTGAAGGCCTGAGGGTTCATGGGGGGAGAGAGAGAGGGCAGACTCCTCTCCTCTGGAGCAGGCTCCCCTTCCCCGGCATGGTGGCCGCCACTTTGCTTCTAGCTTGTTGGGTAGCTGAGGGCCGGGGGCTTCGCTCTGAGCGTTCTCCTTAGGAGGCGCCAGCCATGTGGCCCTGTCCTGCCCGGGAGAGTGCTCCGTGGCCACCGGACCCCTTCCCTGGAGCCTCACAGAGAACCCGACACTCAGACAATTGTCCGTAGGCTTCTTAAACTGAGAAATAATATTTAACATCCCACTCTCCTTCCAAAAAAAAGGAGGCGGGGAGGGCCAGGTTATGTCAACAGCAGGGAAGTGGATAATTGAGGAAACTATTCGGAGATTAGGCCAAGACACACTGCCCCGGGCTGAGGCGGGGGTTACCCCAAAGGCTCTGCTGCTTGGAGTTTGTTTTAGGGGTGGCGGGGTCTGCTCTGGGACCCCCTTCCACTGCATGTGGGCACCTCGGCGTCCTGGGTGGCATCGCGGGAGGCAGGAGCGGGAGCAGGGTCTGGGGAGCCCGGGTCCCCGGTCCGCCCGGCTTAGCGTGTCCCCCGCCGGCAGGTCTTTACGACGGCAAGGAGAAGCGCGAGGACGTCAAGTCGGAGGACGAGGACGGCCAGACCAAGCTGAAGCAGCGGCGGAGTCGCACCAACTTCACGCTGGAGCAGCTCAACGAGCTGGAGCGGCTGTTCGACGAGACGCACTACCCAGACGCCTTCATGCGCGAGGAGCTGAGCCAGCGCCT